GTGTGTGTGTGTGTGTGTATGTGTGTGTGTGTGTGTGTGTGTGTATGCGCGAGCGCGTGCGTGCGTGCGTATCAATATTTTTAAGCTTTTAAGCGTTATGTCCGGAAAGTATAATACGCTTACTTTTTCCTTCTCAATGAGTAAAATATATGAAATCGACGCAAAATTAACTTTATATAAGGTACCTTTCAAAGTTCTTTATGAAATATCTTGAAGATGCTTCTTAAAGAACTTTTAAAGAATTCTTAATGTTGTCTCATGCATCGATTTTAGACATTTCGCTCATTGGATTTATAAGCGCCATACCTACATGGACAATATTTTCGAACTCTTCAGCGTTTTATCCGGGAAATATAACACGCTTATGTTTTTCCTTCCAAACGAATAAAATGTCTAAAATTGATGCAAAATCAACTTTATTGGCACAACGTCGATTTGATAGTAGGGCAATTAGTGAAATGGCACCAGTGTCACAACTGTGTTAAAAGAAAAATAGTAATAGATATGAGATTTTTATTTCCAAAGAATTATACTGCAAATGCTTTAAAACAAACTTTGCTTTATTTCCATTGTTTTTCCAAAAAAAACAATTCCCCAAAGTAATTTATAATTTTAGATTCAAGATGGTCTAACCCTTTAATTGTTAAATTTAATTTCATTATGACATATTTCTTAAATTAAAAGACGTATTGGCCAAGAGTGGATACTTTCACACTCACAAATTTTAATGTTGCGTATTTCGTAGAAGAACGCACTATAATAATATTTAATGCACCTTACTTTATTCCGATTAATATTTAAAATATATAGGAAAGTAGAGAAAAAAAGAGATATTTTGATAATATCGCGCGTTGTATATACAATCCGAAATTCTTGAGAACACGAGAGCGTTCATCGTGTGGATTCTATACCGCACCAGTAAACGTCAATTAATCGATGCAGCTGAGTAAATAAAATGCGCGGACAGTTAAGTACGCTGATAGTCCCACGCGAAAATCATGTTTTTCCCTTTTTTCCCCTTTAATATACTTTTGTGATATAAGTAGTTCAATTAATTATTTGTACAAGGTCAAATAAAATATTTTCATGTAACAATTGCGATTATTCGTGTACCTTAAAATCAACAATTATAGGAAAAATAATGGTTCGACATATATGGTATGTATTCAACTTAATCGATGAAAGATTTATATAAAAATAAACATTTAATGATGTTGCATTTATGACAAATACGCTTCGTGTCGATCAATATTTTGTATAAAATGTTTCTTTCTAACTGTCACATCCGCATTTAAAAATCTGTTAACGAACAAAATTTCGAAAACGAGATTACTAATAATATAAATAAAAATGATACCAATATAATTTTGTAGTACACAATTGAAAGTTTCATATGTTGTAATTTTAAAATAATTTTTTATTTGCTTATTGATAAGCAATCGATTTTTTCCTACAGCTTTGCATGAAAATTACACATACGAATAATTTCAAAAATTATATGAAAATATATTTGGCCTAATATATATGTTTACTACTAATTTGAGTATTTATCTCTGATCTCACACCTTACGCGCTCGACCACGTTAATTTCTTGCGGATCGAATTTATGACCGCGGTACATAACGTACGAATGAAAAATCATAAACAATTAATCTCTCGTCAACTGTCGCGTTTTGACACGATTTAAAATATTCTAGATTAATGCGAGGGGTATGTGATTATTACAATTTATTAAAACTTATATATGTTATATCCAGAACGTCCCCATGCCCCCATGCCTCTTGATATACGCCTGATGCCGAGAGCCGAGAGGCCGAGAAAGCTTATTTCGGTCGCTCGACCGGCTCGACGCTTGCTTGAGTGGAACAGCAAGGTTCTCTCTCGCTCTCGGGGCGCCGACAAGGTAAGCAATAAGAACGTAGTGCGAAAAGGACAGAGCGATATAGTCGGCAAGCTTCTAACTAACCAAGTCACACGGATACGGGCTGCTTGTGTTGCTATCGGTTGCGCTACGCCGTCGACCGGTGGCGCTGATCGCGTGCTGCTGTGGGGATATTGTCAGCCATTTTCCCCCATAGTAGGCAAGCTAGGGTTTTTCCCGACTCAGGGAGTGAGCTGCCTGCGTGCGAACAGAGCAATACAGATTGAGTTCTCTCGACCACCGCGCTAGACGTACGCTATCTCAGGAGTTGCACAATAAAAACATTGGTATTGCAAAGTGTTGCATTTTCTTCCTCATCACCGGCAGCAGGGCCGTGGGCGCAGTGTAAACTGGCCCTGCATTCTGAGCGATTACGCCCACATTGGTGACCCCGACGTGATCAAAAAGAAAAACGAACGGCTATCTTCGTACCAGGCGGCCAGCCAAGTAACGCGGCCTACGTTCTGATGACGGCAGCGCAGCCAATAAGCAACCTTTGCGAGGGAACGAGTCACCTCTCGGCTATCGAGGCAGGAAGTAATTCCGTAGCTCCCAGCAAAAAAAGAACCGGGATCGAGACCAGCAAGCGCAGTGGCGGCGAGCATCGTTGACGACGCCCGGTGGGTAGCCTTAGGGGACGATCACTATCGAGCTCTACGCGCATACCAGCAGGGGCAGTTCCGACATCGTCACGAAGGGCAACGCATCAGAGAGAACCAAGACTCTGCATCTAGGCCTCCGTCGGGATTGCATCATCCGTCGTCCGTCGGGAGTCATTAGACGCCATATTGGTGCGTTCCCACGTTTGCAACGGAAGTAACGTCGCAGCACCCAGTCGCAGCCGTGTGGCAGTGTCAACAGGTACTCAGATTATTTCGTCAGTGGCGGTTTCGTTCGGTAACGGAACGGCACTGACCGCATCCGTGGTCAGACGTGAGACACTCAGTGTATTAATCACGACAAGCTAGAGCAAACAACAACTGGCGCCTCCAACGGTCGAGGAACTTCAAAATCAGTTGGCGCAATTACAGGCCACTTTCCAGCAAATGCAAGGGGGTGTATCCGGAAATGTCGCGCACATCGACACTTATCGAATCCCTAAAATTCCACCATTTCTAATTAAAGATCCAGTCATCTGGTTCATTCAAGTGGAAGCCACCTTTGAAGTCGCGCGCATTACCGATCAAAAAACTAAAGCCCATTACGTAATAATGTCATTGGACGCGGAAGCAATCGCGTGTTGTAGAGACCTTATTGCCGAACCTGACGCGGATGAGCCGTACACGAAACTCAAAAAGCGTATCATTGAAAGCTTTTCAGCTTCGGCAGAAAGTCAATTGCGCCAACTGATCAAAGGTCAGGTACTAACATCCGGTAAACCGTCGCAGATCCTCAGCCGTTTACGCAACCTCAACCCTGACAAACAATGCGACGACGCAGTTCTTAAAACTATCTTTTTCGAGCATTTATCTCCGTATGTCAGAGGCATCCTTGTGTCTTCTGAATGCACCGAACTCGATAAATTAGCCAAAATGGCAGATAAAATCGCGGAAACTTCTACGGAATTAGCGCAATGCGCTGCCGCGTCATATAAAGAATCAAAATCATCCGACTTAGAAGCAAAAATCGATCGTCTCGCGGCGGATCTTGCAACTCTAGCGGCCGAGTTTAAAAGACCTAGCAGATCGCAAACGAAAGGAGGTACGGATAAGCAACGCAAGCGTTCGAGCAGCAGACGCTTTAACGTCTGCTGGCCGCACAGAAAATTTGGTGATCAAGCGCGCGCGTGTAAAGGCACAGCAAAAGATCCGTGTACATGGCCAAAGCCGAAGGCCAGTACGGAAACCAAGTCGGGGGAATAAAAGTGTCTGCTTACTCGGAGGCAAGTACGGCAGACAACAACACTTCTGTTCGCCTCCACATTCGCGACCGCGTAACCGGAGAAGTGTTTCTCATAGACACCGGCGCGGAAATCTCATTACTTCCTTGCAAAGATACGAGTAACAAAATACCGAGTAACCTCAAATTATACGCAGCTAACGACACCCAAATTGATACATATGGGGAATCATTTCGTACGCTGCATCTCGGTATACGCCCACTCACGTGGAACTTTTGTATCGCCTCGGTTTCATATCCAATAATCGGAGCCGACTTAATCTCATTCTACGGTCTGTTACCGGACCTCAAAGGTCGCAGACTCATCGACTCTCGGAACAACTCATTTGCGTCTGGTTTCATTAGAGCTGTATCAGTTCCACCAATCAGCTCAGTAAACCCCGGCACTAAATTCGCGCATATTATAGCAGGTTTTCCTGAGATCACCGGTCTTGACCAATTAACCCCAATTAGCAACAACGACGTGTGTCACCACATTATCACCACAGGTCCGCCCGTAGCGGAGCGCCCAAGACGACTTAATCTGGATAAACTCAAAGCAGCAAAAGCCGAATTTAAACGATTGGTAGACCTCGGTATTTGCGAGCCATCCAAAAGTCCCTGGGCAAGCCCTATCCACATGGTGCATAAAAAAGACGGGTCTTGGAGGATCTGCGGCGATTATCGCCGTCTCAACGCGGTCACCGTCCCAGACAAATTTCCCGTGCCGCATTTACATGATTGTTCTTCTATTCTTCGCGGCAAAACCATTTTTTCTAAACTGGATCTCCGTCAAGCTTACAATCAGATCCCCGTCGCAACAGAGGATATTCAGAAAACTGCGGTGATCACACCATTTGGGTTATTCGAGTATAAATGTATGACCTATGGTCTTAGAAATGCTAGTCAAACCTTCCAGCGATACATCTTTCGTGCGCTCGGCGACCTAGAATTTGTGTTTGCATTCATCGATGACATACTCATAGCATCCCAGTCGCCCGAAGATCACGAAAAGCATTTGCACATCGTCTTACAACGTTTAAAAAATTCCATTTACGTTTAAACACCGAGAAATGCCAATTTGGTAAACACGAACTGGAATTTCTCGGGATCATAATTAACAAGGAGGGTTGCAAGCCCACTCCATCAAAGATTCAAGCCATTCGTGATTTTCCTAAACCACGAACGATCATCGAATTGCGCCGTTTTCTCGGTCTCATCAATTTTTACCGCAGACTTTTGCCGAACGCAGCCACCATTCAAGCGCCTTTAAACGAATATCTTCTCGACTCGCGCAAAAATGATAAACGTGCGATTGCGTGGACATCCACAGCCGAGGAAGCTTTCAGTAAATGTAAAGACGCCCTGGTCAACGCGACACAAGTGTCACATCCCTCTGACTCAGCCGAAACGCGCCTAGTGTGTGACGCGTCCGACTTTGCCATGGGAGCCGTTCTCGAACAACGTCTCGACGATTCGTGGAAGCCGCTTGCGTTTTTCTCCCGCAAATTTAGTCCAGCGCAACGAAATTACAGTGCTTATGATCAGGAACTCACTGCCATCTTCGAAGCAGTTAAATACTTTAGATTTTTTGCTGAAGGACGCTCATTTAAGATCGTGTCAGATCATAAACCACTAGTGTATGCATTCATGCAACGTTCGGACAGGGCATCACCACGCCAACAGAGACAACTTTCGTTTATTTCGCAGTTCACCACGCGCATCGAATATCTGCCAGGCAGCAACAATGTAGTCGCCGACTCACTCTCGCGCATTGAATCCTTCCGCTTACCAGTCGAGATCGAGTTAAACGAGCTCGCGCAACAACAAGAACTCGACGCAGAGTTGCAATCTCTCCTAAAAAACCATGACTGTCCACTTTCTTTAAAGCGCATACAATGGGGACCGACTCACACTACCTTGTACTGTGAAATGACCGGCGAAGCAATTCGACCGTATATTCCCGAATCCTTGCGTAACCGTGTGTTCCACATGTTCCACGATACGGCCCATTCTGGCCCTAAGGTCACCGACCGAGTAATTCGTCAACGCTACGTATGGCCCAACATGCATCGTGACGTTGCAAAGTGGTGCAAAAACTGTACAGACTGCCAGCAATCAAAAATCTCGCGACACGTTCATACTAATCCCGATAAATTTATTGCGCCGGACAACCGATTCGAACACGTCCACATAGACATCATAGGCCCGTTGCCGGAGTCGGACGAATATCGATACTGTTTAACAATTATTGACAGATTTTCGCGTTGGCCAGTGGCAGTTCCACTCAAAGACATTGAAGCCCTTACCGTGGCACGAGCTTTCTATGACAATTGGATAGCCAATTTTGGAGCACCTCAAACCTTAACGACCGACCAGGGCAGTCAGTTCGAATCGCAACTATTCTCCGCACTCCTCCAGCTAATCGGATGTCAACGCATTCGAACGACAGCTTACCACCCTGCTGCAAATGGGTTAATTGAACGGTGGCATCGTAGTTTCAAGGCCGCGATAATGTGCCACACAGGCACGGACTGGACACGAGCACTGTCAACGGTATTGCTGGGTCTGCGCACTCATGTTCGGCTAGACACAAACGCGTCGCCAGCGGAATTCATTTATGGAACGACCTTACGCGTTCCAGGCGAATTTCTCCTTCCTGATGATTTTACAGCTAATCCGCAAATCTTCGTCGAAAAACTTATGCACGTGCTAAAAAAAAAGTCTCATTCACGTTACCCACCACATAGTATGTAAGAAATCTGTATAACCACATAGTATGTAAAAAATCTGTATAACCACAGTGTTTAAGAAATTCATGTAACCACATAGTATGTAAGAAATCTGTATAACCACATAGTGTTTAAGAAATCTATGCAATACAGGTAAAACTCGTTACCACTCGGGGGGGAGTATGTGGGGATATTGTCAGCCATTTTCCCCCATAGTAGGCAAGCTAGGGTTTTTCCCGACTCAGGGAGTGAGCTGCCTGCGTGCGAACAGAGCAATACAGATTGAGTTCTCTCGACCACCGCGCTAGACGTACGCTATCTCAGGAGTTGCACAATAAAAACATTGGTATTGCAAAGTGTTGCATTTTCTTCCTCATCACCGGCAGCAGGGCCGTGGGCGCAGTGTAAACTGGCCCTGCATTCTGAGCGATTACGCCCACATTGAGGCTTTCGCCTATCACGCGAAAAAGGCCGCCATGGCCTCTCTCAGGTTTCTCTCTGGTATTACACACATACATGGAATATTAAATATTACACATACATGGCTGCGTTCAGCAAACTCAACAGTTGAATGAGCACTCGCTGCTATTGATGTATTCTTCTAGATTTAAAATCTGGTTGGACGATCTAAAAGAATACACCAATAACAGCGAACGCTCACTCAACTGTTGAGTTTACTGAATGCAACCAATATTCCAAATTGTATAAACAATAAATTTAGAGACAAGATTGTATATTTTACTATCATCGATTAACTAGAAATATTAATGATTCTTACTTACTAAAGAACAACGCGAATACTATAAAAATGAAAAAAGGGATGAAAAAACAAATATTTTGTCAGTATAAAGAACATAATTATTGAAGTTAAAAATTTTTAGAATTATGCCTTTCTCATACCAGAAATATAATATTAAATTAACGATCACTAATGATCGCGTACTTCTAATGTTAAATTAAAAAATGATTTTACAAGCTCTTGCATTAATATTTATTTTTTAAGTTAAATAATACTGAAGAACTATCTAAAACGTATTTTTAATTATGATTTATTTTCGCCAAACAATATATATTAATGAATATTTGCTTGATAAATATATGGTAAAATAAAGCTACGCTCTCACATAGAGATGCAATTTTTATAATTGTTAGAAACTATATTTATTAGTATTGATCGATTCGCATAGATATTTTATCAGAAGCACATATATGCATATCGTAGTTTCATTTTATTTCTAATTAATATGCTAAAATTTATCAATAACTGATGCTTGAAGATAGTTACACTCTAAGCCAATACATAGCTCCACGAATATTATTATAATCTGGTAAATTTTCAACAGGACCAACTGCCGCGATCACTGGACAGTGATCGAAAATGTATTTCATGCCAACATTTTGAATAGTTTCAGCAGTTACGCTCTGAAAGATAAATTATATATATAATCACATGTTAAGATATATCTTATAAACATCTTCATATATTAGGTGTTAAACTTAATTCCTGCCGTTTTTTGTCTCCAAAATTGATTTGTTTCGAAGGGAAAATGAATGAATACCTTAATCAAAATCATTTCTCCCATTTTCTACTTTATTACTAATTAATAATACTTTATTAATAATACTTTAATTAAGGTATTTCCCTTCGAAACAAATCAATTTTGGAGACGAAAAACGACAGGAACTAAGTTTAACACCTAATAAAAAGATTTTGTTACAAACAACATGTTTACTCTTTTTGTACTAAATATTTATACTTTAATATATTTTGATCTATACAATAAAAACTACATACATCTATCCTCATTTCAAGTTCATGGAGTGGAATACGGCGATTATAACAAAGCATCTGTCGGCCGATATCTTCACAAATAGCAGTAGTTCCATCCAACTGTAAAAACATATTTGTTTTCAGAATATTCTTTGCACGTGCAACATCTTTTTCAGTAACTGCCGTGCACAGTTTCATCCATTCTTGTTGAACACAAAATGACATATCTTCACATTTCATGGGATCACAAACGAAATATATACCCCAAAGTCCTGTATCCTGCAAAATTAAAAAATAATGCATTCATTGATCCGATACATATTAATTGTTATAATTTACATGTTTTACATGTAAATTAGTAATATTTAGGCTTGATTTTTCATTTGCTGGTTAACTTATAATTAAACAACTTGATGTTTTATCCAATGAATTTCAATTATGGCTGTGAAAACATCACCCGAGTGCCCTCCGTGTATCGTTTTATCTTTGTTGTTCACTCAATGTTAAACAAGGATAACAGATATACAGGGATATCCAGGTAATGTTTCCGAATGCACTCTATGATGATGTCATAAGTCAAGTTCATTGGATGAAACATCAGTAGTTCTATTCTAAACATCAGTAGTTCTGTAACTTTTTAACGACAATTTTATTAGCTAGAGATGTTACTGCGGAAGTATTTTACATGATGAAAAAAACTGTACAACAGTATAAAAAGTAACTGTGTTCGGAAACGCCACTCGGATTCATCATCTGTCCTTATTAAACATTTAATGTTAAACAAGGACGGATAATAAATCCGAGGCATCTCGAAGCGACGTTTCCGAACGCAGCCATACTGTTGACTGTACAAAGATGCCGAGCTGTCGTTAAAAGTTACAGAATAGGTCTACAGGTTGTTTAACCATAAGTTAACCAGCAAATGAAAAACCTGGCTTTATTTAACACATACTTTATAACATGTGTTAAAACTCTGATAACTGTGGCACAAGCTTTGTTCTGCACAAGCTTTAGCTAAATTGCTTGCATTATTTACGCCTCCTCCTTGACTACGATCCCATCCTCCTATAAGAGTGTTCGCCACCATAAGAGGAATATTGTCTGCCTCAGCCCATCCAGCACCTAAATCATGCATTCATTGTTCTATAGCATGTTACAATTTATCTGCAATATTAATTAGTACAATGCTAATACCTTCAACAGCGATCGCAATATGAGCGAGAGGAATCGAATCATCGCGAACTCTTATTTCAGAACCAGTATAGCGACAAGCTTTAATATAATCTGGTATAACATCATATTCCGGTCCTGTCATTTTACCGAAATATTTATCGGCAAGTTCGATTAATTGATTGTGATCTACACCGCCAGCGCCAGCCAGTACAAATCTAAAAAAAATTGATATTTGAATTTTCTAATTATTAATAAATATTAAAGCTCCTGAGTAGTATTCTTCAGCCATATTGAATTGTGACGTCATAAGTGAAAAATGACACTGATTTTTCTTGCATACTATTTGTAAATAAAGAGATTTAGGATGAAACAAAATGATGAGATCGCTTTAAAACGCTTGTAAAGATAGACGAAGACTCTCCTTATCTTTCCTGATAATCAGTAAAGAGTCGAAAAAGACTTGTAAAGTGAAAATAGGCTACGCATGCGCATTAAAAACGTTCTCCAGAAAAATCCATTTTTTTTTAATTTTTCTGAAACTTACAGAATAAGCTTATTTTAGTGTCCTAACATATACATATAAGCACATACTATGTGCTTTAAACCTCAATACCCGGAGCGGGATTAAAAATCGAAATATTAAAAAAAAAACAAAGTTGAAGTGTTTAAAATATATATACATATTGAATTGTACAGCTTATTCAAAAGTGGTCTTGTTACTCACTGTAAAAGTTTTTCTTAACAATTTTTTGAAACAATGAGACATAAAACTTGACAAGGAATAATATGAAATTGTCTGAATATGGCTCCCAGTATTCGTTTTTAAGAAATCATTGAGCAAAGTCGCTATTTTTTTTACCGGCGGCAGTAGCGAAGGTGGAAGGCATTTTATATTGTACAAAAAGACTTGTATAAACACATTAACACTTATGGAATATCTTATACTATATAAAAGTGAAATTTTCATAAAAATTTTCATAATGGTAAGCACAAATGTGCTCATTAGGTTGAGCACAACTACAGTCGGAGAACGTTCTTAAGTAAAAACTAGTAAACGCACTTTACATGCCTTTTACGACTATTTACTGACTGTCAAGGGAGATAAAGATAGTTTTCATCCATTTCTACAAGTGTTTTAAAGCGATCTCATCATTTCATTTCATTCAAATTCTCTTTATTTACAAATAGCATGCAAAAAAATCAACGTGTCGCTTATGATACATTTCTCGCTTATTACAATTCAATATGACTGAAGTGAGTACTCAGAAGTCTTAACTACATAAACTAATCAACAAATACCTAGACGGTCCATAATGAGTTTTCACGTATTTAACAAGATCATCTCGCGAAATGCTTTTGATATTTTTAGTAGGCCCCAGTATTGTCCGTCCTAAGGCTGTACCTTGATAAGCAGCAGCATGCAAATGATCAAATACAACTTCTTGTAAATTCGTTTCAACTTCCTGCATTTCGCGCAAAATAACGCCACGTTCCCTTTCAATTTCATTTTCACCTAGCTTCGAATTTTGTATAATATCACTGAGAATCTCAATAGCTTTTGGTACATCCTGTGACAAGCATTTTGCATAAAATACTGTTTGTTCTCGACTTGTATAAGCATTCAGATGTGCTCCCATATTCTCTATTTCTAATTCCAAATCAGTTTGAGATCGTTTAGCAGTACCCTGTCAACAAAAAATTCTAGTATCAATAGAAACATAATAAATAATTAAATGAAAAAGCTAAATATAAAAATCATATAATTATTACAGCCTCGGTCATAAATAGCACACCATCGTTTTTTTTTTAAAAAACAACAATAAAATCCAAAGAAAAAATCCTAATAAAATATATATAAATATATATTAACAATAAGAATCTTACTTAGACCGATATGTGAAAACACAATCAATACTAGAAATTAAATGCCTATAACGATTGAAATTGGATCTTTAATGCTTAAATCAGAGCTGGGATTTAGTTGCATATTTCGGCCGATTTTCAGCTTGGTTCTTACCCCTTACTTCACTAACCCGCGTGTAATCTAAATGCTGATCGGCATTTAGACTGCGCACGAGTTG